CTGGTGATGCCTGTGCTTCTGGTGCTGGTGGTGCCTGTGCTTCTGGTGCTGGTGGTATCTGTGCTTCTGGTGCTGGTTGTGCCTGTGCAGATGCTGCTGCTGGTGCTTGTGATATGGGTGCTGGTGGTGCTGGTGTTGGTAGTGGTGCTACTGGTACTGGTGCTTGTGGTGCTGCTGGTGCTGGTGGTATTGGTGCTGTTGCTGGTGCCCGTGTTGTTGTTGTTGGTGCTGGTAGTGGTGGTGCTGGTGGTGCTGGTTCTGCTGTTGTGTGTGGTTCTGACGTTGCTGGTTGGAGTGGTGGTGCTGGTGCTCCTCCTAGTGGTGCTGCTGCTGGTGTTGCTGGTGCTGGAGCTGGTGCTACTGATGTTGCTGCAGGTGCTGTTGTTTGTGGTGGTGCTGCTTCGCCTAGTGGAGATGCTGGGTCTACTGCAGCTCGTAATGCTGATGTTGATGCTGTTGGAAGTACTGGTGCTCCTGCTGGTGGCTCTGCTGCTGATCCTTGTGCTGGTGGTGCTGGTGAAGGTGGTTCTGCTGGTGCTTGTGGTACTGGTGCTGTGGGAGGTGCTTGTGGTGCTACTGGTGCTGGTACAGGTGGTCTTGCTGGTGCTGGTGGTACTGGTGCTGGTGCTGCTGGTGGTGCTGGTGGTGGTGGTACTGGTGTTGCTGCTGGTGGTGGTGCTGGTGGTGCTGCTGCTGTGGTGCGGTGGTGCTGCTTGTGATGGTGCCTCTGGTGATGGTGCTACTGGTTCTGGTGGTGCTGGTACTTTTGGTGCTGGTGCTGGTGGTGCTGCTGCTGTAGTGCTGGTGGTGCTGGTGCTCGTGCTGGTGGTGCTGGTGATGGTGGTGCTGGGTCTGGTGGTGCTGGTACTGGTGGTGCTGGTGCTGGTGGTGCTGCTGGTGGTGGTGCTGGTGGTGCTGCTGCTGGTGGTACTGGTGGTGCTCGGGGTGCTGGTGCTGGTGCTGGTGCTGGTGCTGGTGGTGCTGCTGCTGGTGGTGCCTGTGCTTCTGGTGCTGGTGGTGCCTGTGCTTCTGGTGCTGGTGGTGCCTGTGCTTCTGGTGCTGGTGGTGCCTGTGCTTCTGGTGCTGGTGGTGCCTGTGCTTCTGGTGCTGGTGGTGCCTGTGCTTCTGGTGCTGGTGGTGCCTGTGCTTCTGGTGCTGGTGGTGCCTGTGCTTCTGGTGCTGGTGGTGCCTGTGCTTCTGGTGCTGGTGGTGCCTGTGCTTCTGGTGCTGGTGGTGCCTGTGCTTCTGGTGCTGGTGGTGCCTGTGCTTCTGGTGCTGGTGGTGCCTGTGCTTCTGGTGCTGGTGGTACCTGTGCTTCTGGTGCTGGTGGTGTCTGTGCTTCTGGTGCTCTTCGTACCTGTGCTTCTGGTGCTGGTGGTGCCTGTGCTTCTGGTGGTGGTGGTGCCTGTGCTTTTGGTGCTGGTGGTGCCTGTGCTTCTGGTGCTGGTGGTGCCTGTGCTTCTGGTGCTGGTGGTACCTGTGCTTCTGGTGCTGGTGGTACCTGTGCTTCTGGTTCTGGTGGTGCCTGTGCTTCTGGTGCTGGTGATGCCTGTGCTTCTGGTGCTGGTGGCTCTGCTGCTTCTGGTGCTGGTGGTACCTGTCCTTCTGGTGCTGGTGGCTCTGCTGCTTTTGGTGCTGGTGGTACCTGTGCTTCTGGTGCTGGTGGTGCCTGTGCTTCTGGTGCTGGTGGTGCCTGTGCTTCTGGTTCTGGTGGTGCCTGTGCTTCTGGTGCTGGTGATGCCTGTGCTTCTGGTGCTGGTGGTGCCTGTGCTTCTGGTGCTGGTGGTGCCTGTGCTTCTGGTGCTGGTGGTGCCTGTGCTTCTGGTGCTGGTGGTGCCTGTGCTTCTGGTGCTGGTGGTGCCTGTGCTTCTGGTGCTGGTGGTGCCTGTGCTTCTGGTGCTGGTGGTGCCTGTGCTTCTGGTGCTGGTGGTACCTGTGCTTCTGGTGCTGGTGGTGCCTGTGCTTCTGGTGCTGGTGGTGCCTGTGCTTCTGTTGCTGGCGGTGCCTGTGCTTCTGGTGCTGGCGGTGCCTGTGCTTCTGGTGCTGGTGGTGACTGTGCTTCTGGTGCTGGTGGTACCTGTGCTTCTGGTGCTGGTGGTATCTGCGCTTCTGGTGCTGGTGTTACCTGTGCTTCTGGTGCTGGTGGTGCCTGTGCTTCTGGTGGTGGTGGTGCCTGTGCTTTTGGTGCTGGTGGTGCCTGTGCTTCTGGTCCTGGTGGTACCTGTGCTTCTGGTGCTGGTGGTACCTGTGCTTCTGGTGCTGGTGGTGCCTGTGCTTCTGGTGCTGGTGGTGCCTGTGCTTCTGGTGCTGGTGGTACCTGTGCTTCTGGTGCTGGTGGTACCTGTGCTTCTGGTGCTGGTGGTACCTGTGCTTCTGGTGCTGGTACTGCCTGTGCTTCTGGTGCTGGTGGTACCTGTGCTTCTGGTGGTGGTCTTGCCTGTGCTTTTGGTGCTGGTGATGCCTGTGCTTCTGGTGCTGGTGGTGCCTGTGCTTCTGGTGCTGGTGGTATCTGTGCTTCTGGTGCTGGTTGTGCCTGTGCAGATGCTGCTGCTGGTGCTTGTGATATGGGTGCTGGTGGTGCTGGTGTTGGTAGTGGTGCTACTGGTACTGGTGCTTGTGGTGCTGCTGGTGCTGGTGGTATTGGTGCTGTTGCTGGTGCCCGTGTTGTTGTTGTTGGTGCTGGTAGTGGTGGTGCTGGTGGTGCTGGTTCTGCTGTTGTGTGTGGTTCTGACGTTGCTGGTTGGAGTGGTGGTGCTGGTGCTCCTCCTAGTGGTGCTGCTGCTGGTGTTGCTGGTGCTGGAGCTGGTGCTACTGATGTTGCTGCAGGTGCTGTTGTTTGTGGTGGTGCTGCTTCGCCTAGTGGAGATGCTGGGTCTACTGCAGCTCGTAATGCTGATGTTGATGCTGTTGGAAGTACTGGTGCTCCTGCTGGTGGCTCTGCTGCTGATCCTTGTGCTGGTGGTGCTGGTGAAGGTGGTTCTGCTGGTGCTTGTGGTACTGGTGCTGTGGGAGGTGCTTGTGGTGCTACTGGTGCTGGTACAGGTGGTCTTGCTGGTGCTGGTGGTACTGGTGGTGCTGCTGCTGGTGGTACTGGTGCTGGTGGTGCTGCTGCTGGTGGTGGTGGTGCTGCTGGTGGTGCTGCTGCTGGTTGTGCTGCTGGTGTTGCTGGTGTTGCTGGTGCTGGTGATGGTGGTGCTGCTGCTGGTGGTGCTGCTGCTGGTTGTGCTGCTGGTGTTGCTCTTGTTGCTGATGCTGGTGATGGTGGTGCTGCTGCTGGTGGTGCTGGTGCTGGTGGTGCTGCTGCTGGTTTTGCTGCTGGTGGTGCTGCTGCTGGTGGTGCTGCTGGTGGTGCTGGTTCTGCTGCTGGTGATGGTGGTGCTGGTGCTGGTGGTGCTGGTGATCGTTCTGGTGGGTCTGCTGCTGGTGGTGCTGCTGCTGGTGGTGCTGCTGCTGGTGGTGCTGCTGCTGGTGCTGCTGGTGGTGCTGCTGGTGGTGCTGCTGCTGGTGGTGCTGCTGCTGGTGCTGCTGGTGATGCTGGTGGTGCTGGTGCTGCTGGTGGTGCTGGTGGTGCTGGTGGTGCTGGTGATGGTTCTGGTGGTGCTGGTGGTGCTGCTGCTGGTGATGCTGCTGGTGATGTTACTGGTGCTGGTGCTGCTGGTGCTGCTGGTGCTGGTGGTATTGGTGGTGCTGCTGCTGGTGGTACTGGTGCTGGTGCTGCTGGTGGTGCTGGTGCTGGTGGTGCTGGTGGTGCTGCTGCTGTGGTGCTGGTGGTGGTGCTGCTGGTGATGGTGGTACTTGTTCTGGTTGTGCTGGTACTGGTGGTGCTGGTGCTGGTGGTGCTGCTGGTGGTGCTGGTGATGTTGGTGCTGGTGCTGGTGGTGCTGGTGGTACTGGTGGTACTGCTGCTCGTGGTGGTGCTGGTGCTGCTGCTGGTGGTACTGGTGGTGCTGCTGCTGGTGATGGTGCTGGTGGTGGTGCTGCTGCTGGTGGTGCTGGTGGTGCTGGTGGTGCTGGTGGTGCTGCTGCTGGTGGTGCTGGTGGTGCTGCTGCTGGTGGTGCTGGTTGTACTGGTGGTGCTGGTGCTGGTTGTACTGGTGGTGCTGCTGCTGCTGTTGCTGGTGGTGCTGGTTGTACTGGTGGTGATGCTGCTGGTGATGGTTCTGGTGGTGCTGGTAGTGCTGCTGCTGGTGGTGCTGCCATTGGTACTGGTACTGGTGGTGCTGCTGCTGGTGGTGCTGCTGCTGTGGTGCTGCTGCTGGTGGTGCTGCTGCTGGTGATGGTTCTGGTGGTGCTGGGTGTGCTGGTGCTGGTGCTGGTGGTACTAGTGGTGCTGCTGCTCGTGGTACTGGTGGTGCAGGTGGTACTGGTGGTGCTGCTGCTGGTGGTCCTGGTGTTGCTGGTGGTCCTGGTGGTGTTGCTGCTGGTGGTGCTGCTGCTGGTGGTGCTGGTGGTGGTGCTGCTGCTGCTGGTGGTGCTGCTGCTGGTGGTGCTGCTTCTGGTGGTGCCTGTGGTGCTGGTGGTGCTGCTGCTGGTGGTGCCTGTGGTGCTGCTGGTGCTGCTGGTGATGGTGGTGCTGGTGCTGGTGGTGCTGGTGGTGCTGGTGGTGCTGCTGTTGGTGGTGCTGGTGGTGCTGCTGGTGCTCGTGGTGCTGGTTGTACTGGTGGTGCTGCTGCTGGTGGTGCTGGTGATGGTTCTGGTGGTGCTGGTGGTGCTGGTGCTGGTGGTGCTGGTGCTGGTGGTACTGGTGGTGCTGTTACTGGTGGTGCTGGTTCTGGTGGTGCTGGGGGTGCTGGTGCTGGTGCTTTTGGTGCTGCTGCTGGTGGTGCTGGTGCTGGTGCTTCTGGTGGTGCTGCTGCTGGTGGTGCTGGTGCTGGTGCTTCTGGTGGTGGTGCTGCTGTCGGTGCTGCTGTTGGTGCTGGTGGTGCTGCTGCTGGTGGTTCTGCTGCTGGTGGTGCTGCTGGTGGTGCTCGTGGTGCTGGTGGTGCTGCTGCTGGTGTTGCTGCTGCTGGTTGTGCTGCTGGTTTTGATGGTGGTGCTTATGCTGGTGCTGGTGCTGGTGCTGCTGGTGGTGCTGGTGCTGGTTTTGCTGGTGATGGTGCTGGTGGTGCTGCTGGTGCTGGTGGTGCTGGTGGTGCTGCTGCTGGTGGTGCTGCTGCTGGTGGTGCTGCTGATTGTGGTACTGGTGCTGGTGCTGCTGGTGATGGTGGTGCTGGTGCTGGTGCTGGTGGTGCCGGTGATGCTGGTCGTGCTGGTGGTGCTGCTGCTGGTGGTCCTTCTGCTGGTGATGGTGGTGCTGGTGCTGGTGGTGCTGGTGATGGTTCTGGTGGTGCTGATGGTGCTGCTGCTGGTGGTGCTGCTACTGGTGGTGCTGGTGGTGCTGCTCCTGGTGGTTCTGCTGCTGGTGGTACTGGTGCTGGTGCTGCTGGTGGTGTTGGTGTTGGTGGTGCTGCTGGTGGTGCTGGTGGTGCTTGGTGGTGCTGGTGGTGCTGCTGCTGTTGTGCTGCTGCTCCTGATGGTGGTGCTTGTTCTGGTGGTGCTGGTGCTGGTGGTGCTGGTGCTGGTGGTGCTGGCGCTGTTGGTGCTGGTGGTTCTGATTGCTGGTGGTGCTGGTGCTGGTGGTGTTGCTGCTGGTGGTAGTGGTGCTGGTGGTTCTGATTGCTGGTGGTGCTGGTGCTGGTGCTGCTGCTGGTGTTTCTGGTGGTGCTGGTGCTGGTGGTGCTGGTGGTGCTGGTGCTTGTGGTACTGGTGGTGCTGCTGCTGGTGGTGCTGGTGATGGTGGTGCTGGTGCTGGTGTTGCTGGTGATGGTGGTGCTGCTGCTGGTGGTTCTGGTGGTGCTGCTGCTAGTGGTGCTGGTGCTGGTGGTGCTGGTGGTGCTCTGCTGCTGCTGGTGGTGGTAAAGTTGATGTTGGTGCTGGTGCTGATGCTGCTGGTTCTGGTCCAGGTTTTAATGATGGTGGTGGTGTTCCTGGTGCTAGTTGTAGTGGTGGTGGTGCTGCTGTTGGTGGTGGGAAGCAGAACTTTAACTTGGGTGTGTTTTTGATGGGGGCCAGAAGCCACAGCGTAGGACCTCAGAGGACGGAATCAATAGTGCCCTTCTCAAACAGTGCTGAGGAAAGGATCCCAGCTCTGGTGCCGGCGCTATGTATTTCTGTGTGGTTTTGAGGACATATCAGGCTTCCAACACCTGATGCAGTTAACCACGTGAATCATGTGAGCACTCTTCTCATTCTCATTCTCTCTTCTGTGTTGTGAGTGTGTGCTTTTGAGTATTGCAGTGGACATGTCTGCATGCCGGTTCACATGCCTGTTGTGTGTGTTATGTTGTGTGTCAGTGTGCTGTGTGTACTTGCTGTGGGTGTAGGTATGGAGGTATCAATTTGCACAAGCATTAGTGCCTGTGTGCGTGCATGCGTGTGTGTAGGCCAGACTGTTTGGTTGCTCTCCACCTTTATTTTTGAGGTAAGGTCTCTCACTGAATCTGAAGCCCAGTGGGGTTAGTAGGCTGGCTGGCTGGGGAGCTCTGGAGATGGACTTGTCTCTGCCTCCCAGTGCTGGCCTTGTAGGTATGCAGCGCCATGCCTGACCTTTTAGGTTGGATCTAAGGATCCATGTCAGGTTCTCATGCTTGCCTAGCAGGAACTGCCTGAGCCATTTTCTGAGTTTCTACTCTTCTCATTCTTTTTCAAAAACTGTTTTGAGACAGCGTTTCTCTGTGTAGCTGTGGCTGTCCTGCAATTCACTCTGTAAACCAGGCTGGCCTCGAACTCACAGAGATCTGCCTGCCTCAGTCTCTCAGGTGCTGGGATTAAGGGTGTGCGCCATCACCACCCAACTTACTTTTCTCATTCTTATTCTAGGCTACAGATTAATAAACCACAGTATGGACCACATCTGGCTCAGCATCAGTCTTTGTAAGTTGGTTGGTTGGGACACAGCTACACTTACTAGTTTGCATATTGTCTGCCACTGATTTAGAGTTTAATCTCTATGATGCAGATCGGATAAAACTGAAAAAGTACAAAGCATTTACTATGCGACTCTAAAGAAAAAGTTCTCAGACCCCAATTGCCACTCCCAAAGGGAATGACTGCCCGCCTTTGTTTCTCTGAGCAAACTGATGCTCTGATTTCTAAGCTTCCTTCTTTCCTGTTCTGTATTCTCCTTGCAATTTGCATTTATTGTCCTGCAAGGCTTAGGAAAAGGCCAGCCTATGCCAAGGGTTAGGAAACCCATCAAGGTGTGTGCTACCTCATGAGCCTAATCAGTAATTGACAGTTTGATGTTCCTTTCACCTAGCCAAAATCTACTTATGCCTTTAAAACATTTATTATATATGTGTTGTGTATGTGTATGCAAGAATGCATCTTAATGAATGTACATGTGTCGGAGTGTGTGTGTAGTGTGTGTGTGTGCGTGTGTGTGTAGTGTGTGTGTATGTGTGTATGTGTGTGTGTGTGGTGTGTGGTCGTCATAGGGCAGCTTGTGAGCGTTCGTTTTGTCTTTCTGCCACATGAGCTATGGGGATCAATCTCTGTCCTTCAAGTTGGCAGCGAGTGTATTTACTTACTGAGTCCTACCAATGCTCCTTATTTAGGGCAGAGACCACCCCCTTTGACACAGCCCCTTGAAAAGGTGACATTTTGGGATGTTGTTCAAAGAATGAGCTAGCTATTCAAGGAGCTGCAAAAGGGATATTTTAGACAGAATGATGAAGTGTAGAAGCCTTGGAGTCAGGTAGGACTTGACACGCTCAATGGATGAAGGAAGAAGGTAAGGGAAGCTCAAAGACTACAGCAACTGGATTTATTCTAGATGCAGTGGGGGAATCCATTTATGGCTTTTGAGTGGGATAGTGTTAGGGGCATGACTGTGAACATTTTGGTATTGTTGTTTAGTTATTTTGAGCCATGGCTTCACTATGTAGCCATGGCTGGCCTGGAACTAGCTCATGTAAACCGGACTATCTCCAAAGTTGCTGTGATCCTGCTGTCTCGGCTCCTAGGTCATGTGCGGGTGTCACTATGTCTGGCTATAGTGTTCATAACAATAGAACTATCCAGCTATGATCATAGTACTATAAAGGCAGGGGCCTGAGTACTGTGAGCTTAAGGCCAACCTGATCTATGTAGTAAGTGGCAGACATGCCAAGGACCATAAAAGATGCCCATGTCCTGATCTCCCAGAAGGCATAAATACATTACCTTTCAAAACTTAAAGGCCTTTGTGGATTAAGGACCATGAGCTGGGAAGAATCTGGATTGTTCTGGTGGGCATAGTTGTAAGAGGAAGATGGAAGAGTCCAGGGTCAGAGAAAGCAATGGGATGACGGAAACAAGGGTGAATACTCGTGACAAATTTGGAGATGGATGAAGGCATTATAAGCTGGGGCATGTACTTAACCTTCCGACAATGGCAAAGGCTTCAGCCCTGCTGACATCTTGACGTCATTCTCCAGTGCAGCCCTCATAAGGCATACAGCCTGACTGACATCTTGATGCTAGTATAGTGACATCCATTCAGATGGCTGACCCTCTGGGCTCGAATATAATAGTCTTTCCTTTTTTGAGTCTCTAACCTTGGGGCGATTTGTTACAGAAGCTCAATGTGGAAAGAGAAACTCAAACCTGCTGTGATTAGCAACTCGAAGGGCGAATTGAAGAGTGGAGAGGCGAAGGACAGGGTAGAAGTGGAAGAGAAGGGATAGAAAACAATTCAAAACATTTACTTTTAGTGTGTGTATGTGTGTGTGTGTGTGTGTGTGTGTGTGTGTGAGTGTGTGTATTAACAGGATCATGGAAGCCAGGTGCATTGAATCCCCTGGAGCTGGAGCTGTGGTTACTGGGAAGCAAAACAGTGTTCTCTGCAAGAACAGAATGCGCGTTTAACTGCTGGGCTAGCTCTCTAGCACCCTCCAGCGGCAGTTAAGAACAATAGTCTTCTTAGCTTTTTCTTTTTTTCCTGTTAATTTTTTTTATTTTTATTGCTTTATAAATAATACCATTCAAAATTTCCACTTCCTCCTCTCCTCCAATTTCCCTCCAGCTTCCCCCCTCCCCCTCACCCCTTTCCAGTCCTAAGAGAGGGCAGGGTACCCTGCCCTGTGGGAAGTCCAAGGCCCTCCCCCCTCCTTCCAGGCCTAGGAAGGTGTGCATCTAAATAGACTAGGATCCCAAAAAGCCAGTACATGCAGTACAGACAAATCCCAGTGCCATTATCATTGGCTTCTCAGTCTGCCCCAATTGGCAGCCACATTCAGAGAGTCTGGTTTGATCACATGCTCATTCAGTCCCAGTCCAGCTGGCCTTGGTGAGCTCCCATTAACTCAGTCACACCGTCTCAGTGGGTGGGCCAACCCCTCGCAGTCCTGACTTCTTTGCTCATGTTCTCCCTCCTTCTGCTCTTCATATGGACCTTGGGAGCTCAGTCCAGTTCTCCAATGTGGGTCTCTGTCTCTATCTCCATCCATCACCAGATAGAGGTTCTATGGTGATATTCAAGATAGTCATCAGTCTGACTAAGGGACAAGGCCAGTTCAGGCACCCTCTCTTCCACTGCCCAGGGTTCTAGCTGGGGACATCCCAGTGGACACCTGGTAATCCCTCTAGAGCCAAGCCTCTTGATAACTCCAAAATGTCTCCTATACACAAGGAACAAAGAAGCAGAGAGGGAAATCAGAGAAACATCACCTTTCATGATAGCCATAAATAGCATAAAGTATCTTGGGGTAACACTAACCAAGGAAGTGAAAGATTTATTTGACAAGAACTTTAAGGCTTTGAAGAAAGAAATTGGAGAGGATACCAGAAAATGGAAGGATTTCCCTTGCTCTTGGATTGGTAGGATCAACATACTAAAAATGGCAATTCTACCAAAAGCAATCTATAGATTCAATGCAATCCCCCATCAAAATCCCAATAAAATTCTTCACAGACCTTGAGAGAACAATAATCAACTTTATATAGAAAAACAAAAAACTCAGCATAGCCAAAACAATCCTATACAATAAAGGAACTTCCGGAGGCATTACCATTCCTAACTTCAAGCTCTATTACAGAGCTACAGTAATGAAAACAGCTTGGTATTGGCATAAAAACAGAGACATTGACCAATGGAATCAAATAAAAAACCTGGATATTAACCCACAAGCCCATGAACACCTGATTTTTTTTACAAAGAAGCTAAAATTATAAAATGGAAGAAAGAAAGCATCTTTATCAAATGGTACTGGCATAACCTGTAGAAGAATGAAAATAGACCCATATCTATCACCATGCACAAACCTCAAGTCCAAATGGATTAAAGACCTCAATATCAGTCCGAACACACTGAACCTGATAGAGGAGAAAGTGGGAAGCAGTCTGCAACACATGGGCACAGGAGACCACTTCCTACGTATAACCCCAGCAGCACAGACATTAAGGGCATCATTGAATAAATGGGACCTCCTGAAACTAAGAAGCTTCTATAAGCAAAAAACATAGTCATTAAGACAAAAAGGACTCCTACTGAATGGGGGAAGATCTTCTTAGTTTTAAGTGTGTGTGTGTGTGTGTGTGTGTGTGTGTGTGTGTGTGTGTGTGTGTGCAGGTGTTCTTGGAGGCCAGGGGTGTCGGATCTTCTGGAGCTGGAGTTACAGGCGGTTGTGAGGTGCCTGGCAAGGGTTCCAGGAGTGAAACTTGGGTGCTCTGCAAGCACACCCCATCCTCTCAACTACTGAGACATCGC